GGTGACATTTACTGTCTGATTGGGATTGCAGGGACAATATTTGTGTAACAAACAAACTACATACACTAGAGAAATAAAAGCTGCAAGTTTTTTTCTAACAGTCTTTCAAGTTCATAAGGATCGAAAGATACATCCATAACAAAATTTGCATTGGTATCTAGAAAGAAATTATTAGAATCATGCTAGTGTCAAAGGTCCCCAAACTGTGCTAGGCTCCAGATACCATAGAGCACTCAAAGAGAAATCTAGCATGCCGCCATTTCACCAAAGGTAGGAATGCTTTTTGAACAATCAAATGGCTTCTCCAACAACCGTCTAGCACAGCTAAGAGCTGCTGACATCATTTTCGTCAACCCCAAGTTATAAGGAAATTTTCTAGCCCCAAGTTTGAGTTCTTAAAGAAATCAAAATTTATAGAAAACTCTGTCCTAGAAGAAAAAGGAAAAATAAAAAGGTCAAAAATGTTAAGAACAGTTTCTCATTCAAATATTGTTCAATAATGTATTTGGGTGGTAAAATGAACCAAAACCTCTTGAAATTTATTTCTGAAAATATCATTGTAGCAAGTTAATTTCTTACTTTATTCTGACCGAATACCACCCACTTCTAGTGTCAGGTATATTCTTGTGACTAGATTCCACCTTATCATAGCTCTATTTGTCTTACCTATGAAACACCACGGACAAGACTGCTTATGGACAGGCAGGATACCCTCTCATGAAATGGCAAAAAAAAAGCAGCACCAGGGGAACTCATCTCTAGTTGATTTCATTTGATGATTTTATATTTTGCAAACAGCAATAGCTGTAGCGCTCCTAAAAATAATGTGATTATTGATCTATATGGAAAAAGGAACTATTCACTTTTCCATGTCTTAATTTTTTAAAGTAAGTCGGATCTGGATAGCTAAGCAATAATAAATGCATAATACTGCATTCTCCTGTTTACTTCTGCTCACTACCTGGATCAAGTAGCTCAAAGATTTAAAAGAATATAAGGTCATAGAGAAATTAAGCTCTACGGTTGATAATCAAAAAGTAACAGTATGGTTTCAACTTTCCCTTGGAATATCATTAGTTAGTATTATACTGGAATCAGAAAATTCTGAACTTTTCAGCCTGAATCATTTTAATGTTTGTACAGAGCAGCTACAGGGCATTGCCAGTTGAGGAACTACTATCATTATTTTAAGTTCAGACTGAAAAATAGGCTTGAAGCAGCGTTTAACCTTTTTCCAAAATGACAGGCAAACTAAAACTGGGAAGGGTCCGTTTTAATTAGTTAGCTCTTCATATTAACTTTCTTAGCAGACACTGAAATTTTCTGTTAAAGGTTCTTTCAGGAGGCTAATCTAACTCAGAAAAATAGTTCAGAAAGACGACCCATCTTTCTAAAGGTATAAGAAACATCATTAATGAAAATATGACCATTCTTACCAATTAATGAGTTTCAATGTAGGTGTTTAGGAAAAGCTTCTGTTAACGTTACTATTTGTACAACAGAAAGCATCCCATTAAATTAGAAACATTGATTATTTATTAATTGGTCAACTGGTAGGAAATATTATCATTTTTATTGCACTGTGTCGAAATAGTGCCCTTTTTGTGCTAGGCACTGAACAAAGTCAGCAGGTGATATGTTATAGAGAATGGTGCCAGTTGACCATTAAAAAAAGAAAGCATTGAACTGAAACAAAACAATAAAACAATGAGTTACTTGGTGTCTTTAAGTTATGTGTCTGCCTTGAAGATACAGCACATAGAATAGATTGTCACTTTAAGGTATCCTACACAAAGCCTCTGCAAGGATCCGCTAGGCTTGAGATACTCAAGTAAATAATCAAAGGAGGAGGCATCGTACGTTAATATCTGTAAGTGGAAAGGCTTGAAGTTGAGCTTCCCACATAGGCGTCATTCTTTTCGATGGAATAGGCTGGGAATTTGGATATTATATGTTAGCAGTAACTATGCCTGTGTCTCAACCATGAAGGCTGAAGCCACCACGCACTTGCAGATACACACTTTGTTTGGACAAACAGGCACATCCACAGGTTTGTAAATCCTGTGGTGACATCACATCAGGTATAAATCTTGGGACTTCAGGTGCAGAAACTACTTCAAATAAAATCCCTTACTTTTTCTCCAGCCATTAGGGACAAGACGCAGGCTGTCACCTGAAGGAAAAGCCTACTAGTTTATCAGAGTCAATACTGTTCTCCAAGATACTACGCTACTAACAAGGCGGTTACCTACTTCAGAATCTTTTGAAAAGCTAGGTTATTGTTTCTCATGACAAGGAAGAATAACACCTTTTAACCTCTTTTGCATTCTGAGGCCAACTGCACTCATTCTTTGTATGCTTCACATTTATGATACGGTTTATCTTCTCATCAAACTATGGAAAACTCACATCTGCTAGGAGAAAATTATTTACATTTTTCTCTTCTTGAAAGGGGAAGAATTCTTCTACCACAACAGCGTTCAATAGAAGCCTCACTTACCTTCCCCCAAATTAGCTTTATGTCACTGATTGCTGCAGATGCTTGAGCCTGAGCTGCCTCTTCTATTGACTCTGACCAGACTGATGACCACAGAACCAACAGTAGGTAGGTAGGTAAAGGGACTGAGAGGTAAACCTCACTGTGACCTCTGATAAATAATTTGCATCTTTGTGTCTTTCATATTATTCTCTCAAATACACTTCATCCACGCTGCAGCTAGTTTAACACCATCCACCCCAGAAGGGAAAATTATTCCATGGATAAAGAGCACACTGTCTCAATCCCAGTGTGAAAATTTCAACTGTCTCTATTGTCTAGTCTACAGTAAAGTTCCAACTGCATCATCTCCCTTGGTTGTATTTAAATAATATTGTAATATATTTAAATGATTATTTAAATATATATTTATAAATTTAACTATATATACTTTAAAAACACTCAAGACTGCATCCATAAGCTGAATGGCTCTTCCAGAGTTAAAATATAACAGTACACTGAGGATTTTTTTATGTGGTGTATCAGTGGGACGGGCAGGAGCTTCTGAAGGAGTAGTGCAAGTACAGTGCTCCGTATCCCTTGCGGAAAGACAGATAGAAGGGAATTCCAGGTTATTTGCCCACAGGAAAGTGGAAGAAACAGTAGGAGCAAGAGGTCAAAGAGACAGAAGAAAAACCTGGATCATTTGTATTGGGAATGGAAATGCTACCTGCAGCATTTCCCTTCGGTGTTGAGACCCACCCAGGTACCCGGTCTGGGCTCAGCCTGGGCCACCTCCTGCCAGCACGTGCAGAAGCAGAGGCACCAGCGCTGGTGTCTGCACCAGGTCATTCCCGTCTCCATTTTTTTTGCCCAAAAGTGGTGCAGTAAGGGTTCAACTCCAGTGCTTTTCCCACCTCTCTCTTCATTGCACTGTAAATATCTTTCAAATGTTGAATCTGGAATATGCCTAAGTTTAGTAGCTTCATTAGTGTTCGTTATTGAAACTGGTACAAAATAGAGACACGTAGCTTCCTGAAGCATATGAATGTTATGCGAATGGTTCTGTAAACTGCTGTCATAGTTGTTTACTTTCCCACAGCATATTCATCTGTTATAAGCATGGACTGATTTCTCCAGGGAGAATAAGACAGACGGATGAGGTTGTAATTTATTTTTTTTCTAAACTTCTATAACATGGAGTAGAGGGTAGAGATGTAACAAAAAAACTGGCAACCTTCAGGCCTGATTCTGAAATTAAGTATTTCATCAGCCTTCTCCAACTGCTTCATTCTGGTTTGTTTTTTCAAGAGTATTCATGGAAATTTTTATTCAAATTTCTTCCCAAATATGAGTCATGAGCACACAGGGAAAGGAAAGTAGTTTTATTTTCTTTTTATGCCAATAATAAAAGTAACAAAAATCAGAATTTTTCTTCTGAATTCCAGCATGGCTTCTACTATAATCCAGCAGCAAAACAGAAGGTAAAAAAGTCTTCTGGAAAGTACTTGTGCCACATTAAATTTTATTTCGTATTGCAATGCCACAGAGTCCTTGGACCTTAACAATGCACCTGATTGCTTGTTTAGATGGACTCCAGGTTCATTTATCCATCTTTACAAAAGATGGATATTATAGATCCATCTTTACAAAATCAGCCCTTGCTTCAATGCAATTCTAGTCTACTAGTGGTCTCACTGTCTACCTCACACAATCCTTTCAAACCCATTGATAAAATGTTGCTTTTAAAGAAAGCTATAAGTAAACCTTTACATTAGAATCTTGGTAGCACTAAAAGTCCCTTTGTTAAATTATATTCTATCTATTTGAATATATTTTTTTATAACACAGAACTGGAAAAAACATTTTTGCAGTGTTTTACAGAAACTGAGGCTGCCTCTTCCCTAAGAAGGAAAATGAACGCAATTACTCTGAATGTCTTGGGGATTTTTTTTTCAGGTCTGTTTCTCACATGATAGACAAATACACAGTTTAGGGAAAACAAATTATAAAAAGATGCGAAGACTCATCATCCAACTTCCCAGATTTTACTGGTCAGTATCACTTAAATTTATTCCATCATTTCTTTATAATCAGAACACACAGTGCCAATTTGCCCATTCTTTCTAGCTGAGTTGAACGGAGAGAACTACGAAAAGGAGTTTCCAGCCCAGTTGTAATGACACTATTAAAACAGTGGGAATGGGATGCATTCAAGCAGCTGTGCACTAAACTAAATCTTCATACATAAAAACCAGTGGAGTCCTGCATATATGTTATTTATAATGAAATAAATTCACTATGTCATTCATCTTAAGAATGGATTTATCTTATATAGCTATACATAAATGACCAACAAGAAAATTCAAAGCTGAATGACAAACCTTGAATGCTTGATGTTAACTCACAAAAAATTCCCAAAACCAAAAAAAAAAACCAAAACAAACAAACAAAAAAAACACACACACAAAAAAACCCCCCACAATCACAGAATCACAGAAATAAACCAAAGGTAAATGCTTACACAGCAGACAAGGAGCTATCCTTCTTTGGTTTCTTCTTTTCTCGAGCATCACTAAAATCGAGAGCAGCTTTGTCCATTCCTAGTAACTCACTGATCCTGTCACGGCCATAGAACTCACCATATTTATCCATGACCTAAAGTAAGGAGGAATATTCAAGAGGATCAGTTTGGTAGATCAGCTGTTTTTCAGCCTGGTTTCTGAAGACAAGAGGTTTAACATACACAATCTTTTTTAATCTGTTTGTTTCCATCTGTCTATCATATCAGTCAGTATTTTTTTTTTCGGCTCAATTGCAATTAACTCAATAGAGGCAAGAGGTGAGTGTCAAAGATAAGATGTTGCTACTTATTTCATGAAAACAGGAAGAGGAAAGCAATCCATCAGGAGGAGAGTAACTAAATCAACGTCATCACCAACAGAAAAAAAAAATCCTATGAGGTCACGTAGGGAAGAGATGTTTTGAATATGCTAGCCATTTGAAAAGCTCTGATTAAAGTAAGATTTCTCAAAGACAGTATTTGACCCTTAATAGTTATTCCTTTAAAAAAAAAATAAATTTATTCTTATTCTGTTTAAAATTTTTTTTTAAAATAACCTGAATGTCTTGGTTGGGAATTTTGGATATTTTTTTTTTCCCTTTTAAGGGGAAGTATTTCACATTGAAATAGTTGTGAAAAATGTCCTCACTTATTAACTAGCACCATTGCATAGTTTTATGATCTTATTTTTGTTAGTTAATAATGTAATGAAACTATAATACACATGGAATATGTAGGAATCAAAAGATCTTGAACAGAGAGTTACAGCTAAAAATGATTTTCAGTGAATTCAAACTATCCCCATCTCTTTCTTACAAAGTTTAACATGTTTCATAAGAAACATTTCTGGAAATGAACATTTACTTGCTGTTATTCTCACTGAACACATAGCTACTTCCTAAATATTATGTCTCTTCTCATTTTCAAAAAAATACTCAAAGAAATACAAAATTTTGGATAATAAGTTCATAACTGAATGACTCCTGCATGTGAGGTGGTATTTTTACCAGCTTTCTAATAAGCAATGCTTTAAACCTTTATTGATATTTTTGCAGATCTTTAGAGACAAGCCGCCTTTGTCACATGCCTGAAAACAGTGCTTCATGACTGTGGATCATTCACTAGGCTGGGGATTTAAGCATATTTACATATAAATATATATCTAAAAGAACACATTCTTTGCAAAATACTGTATTTAAAGGCACTTAAATCTATGCAGAGCAGTTCCTCAGGCAAAGTACCAAACCTTCCACGCAATTTAAAATTGTGTTCCTTTCCTTTTAATAGGAACCTTCCTTGACCTACCAGATTGACAGAAGCAATGTAGAATTTTATTTTCTTTCTCGAGTACTCCATGCAAGTTACTCCCTCCTCTTTGCTTAGATAGACAGATAGAAATATGTATCTAAAAACTTCAAATACACAAAAAAAATACTTTCAACAGCAAAATGAATACACAACTCACAGCATTTTTTGGATAGGTTGACCTAAAACTGTTATGAAGCAGAAGAGCTATGAGTATTTAAAAAGATGTTTCCAAATGTGTGATTCAAGATTGGCATTAAATGGTGTGAAGGAGGGGTAAATCTGATCCAACAATATAAATACTCTCTTTTTCAATTGTGACCCAACACACTAGGAATATTATTCTTGTTGTAAGCTACAGTATGTACATAACATTTATTTTCTATGAGCAAACTGAGAAAACATTCAACTTAACATTCGTAAGAAATGAACTTCAGCCTTTGCTTACGGAGGACTACTTGTGAGAGGGATTGTTAGGTTATGTGATAAAAGTTCATCTGCACACCCACAAAGGACCACAGAGAGACACCCCCCCACAGTGGGGGGCAGAGTCCAAAGAATACCCTGCCCAGCTACTCCCAGGTCCATCGCAGGAGCCATCAGCCCATTAAAGGCCCAACTCCTCAAGCCTAAAGGAGCACAGGGGCACAATGGCAGGCAGGAACCCACATGACAGACTCCCAGTGAACGGACACCCTGCCTGGTCCCTCCCAGGCTTGTCCCGGAGACCCTCAGCCCCGGTGTCCAGGTGTGAAGCCCATCAAGAAGAGTCCTTGGGAGTAGCTATCCATATCACCTTTCAGGCCATAAAAGTGTACACAGAAATTCTCTGCAGAATCTCATGAATGTATTTGAATTCCTGTTTTAGACAACAAGCTGTATGTAGAAAAAGTTTGAAAGAATAACTATCCAAACCACCCAAAAGTAGTTGTAAGCAGGAGGTGAGTAAGGAATTTTGTGTATTTTAAAATAGTAAATATGGAAAACTACACTGAATCAAAGTTATATTTAAAGAAGTGTAGCCCACATTACTTCAAACACAAAAATAAACACACATTACAACTTTATTTTAACTTCATATGTATTTATAAAAATAAGCCTTACCTTCCTTTTCACAAATTTGTCCCAATAGTTATTTGGAAAAGACCTGTAAAACACAGATAAACAACATCACATTTTAGACAATCATGAGAAGATGCAGTGGTTACTAAGACATCATAAAAATTACATACTGATTTTGTTTCTAAGAGGCTCTTTGTTGTTGCTATCACCAGCTACTCATTTGTGAAGTCACTGGAATGAAAGTTGCCAAATGACGTTCAGCCTACCACGTTAATGTGGCTGAGAAAGAGCAGCAGAGCCGATGCCTGCAGACAGGGTTCTAAAGCAGTTGGATCACACAGTCCCACTAGGCAGAGAGTTGGGACTTTCAATGTTCCTAAAGCAGAGCCTTCCAGAGACACTAAAGGATGCAAAGTCCAGTTCACTCTTGAACTGACAGCAATACACAATCAGCACAGTGCTTGCCAAAAGAAATTCATTGCAATTTTTTTTTCTTTTATGGAACAGAAATAATTTTAAAGCAAAAACGTGGGAATAAGATTAAAAAGTAATAGTAAACATTAGCGTAACAGGTGTCTGAAATATTCTTTATATGCTTGCTAGAAATACATCCCTCACAATTGTTTATTTCAAACAAGCTGGATGATCAACTATATAATTGTGGAGACTGAAGAACAATTCCTTGCAAAGCTATGAAGAGACAGAGCAGGCAAAAACTCACTGTGTGTTGATTACAAGTCTATCCCACTGTCCTTTAATATCATCTTCTGACGGTTGTTCAGTTATATACAGCCCATCAAATTCCAATTTCCTTGCCACTTCCTTTTCTCTTTTAAAAATAACCAGTGGAACCTGCAGTTGAAAAAAAAAATCAGGAATTATTTAAAATGCACTGACATGTCTGCAAATTTTTAAGAAAAGCTGGTTATCAAAAATTACACATGAAAACTAAACAAAGCAAAAATAGTAATTTAAAAATTAAAAGACTTGACAATTTTCCAGAACACTGCAAAGGTATAGATGCACAAGGACCAGGTCATTCAGAATCAAATAACTACAGTGTACCACACAGTTGTAAAAAGACAGCCAAAATCCCTGAAAAGGCATCCTTCAAATAAAAATAGTTCTTCAGTGCTACGGAGCTATTAGAACTAGTCAAGTAAAAGAGAGTTAAAATCAAAATAGTTTTTTAATGCTTAGAAATTCTAGTTCCAAACATATCATACACAGACCTGCAGTTATGAAGATTTTTAATTTTGAAAGCAATATAACTCCAAAGACAGAGACTGAAACCATATTTGGTCTTTTCTTCAGGGTTTCAGAATTGGAAAGAAGGCAATTCCTTATTCCCTTCTAGTCACAAAAGAAATGTAGTTCAAAAAAACAATGTGGGAAAGTAGCATAAAAAGTCATAGTGGAAAAATAAAAGCTATAAGGTGGGAGAAGGGGATATCTCAAAAGCCAGAAATCTAAGCTTTCATGCTGCCTGCCAACCAGTGAAACAGGAAAATGTGTTTTAGTATTTATTGACCCGCAGAGACACTTCTGGTAGAGATGAAAATCAACCACTTAATGCAGTAGTACGATGACCATTTGCCTCAACTACAAATCCTTTAAAAGATGTTTAAGTTCCTGCCAAAACGCTACCACCAAAGTATGTATGAAAAGTAGGCATTGTCTATAGCCACAACGTGAAGTAGTGGTAGTCCAAAACGCTGCATGTTTTTCAAATGACCCAGCTGACAGACTAGTAATGCAGACACTGTCATCTAGCTTCCTCGGGCCATGGGCGTTCACAGCTTGTCTTCGACAGACACAAGCAGCTTCTGATAGAGGTTACTGCTGTAATTGTCTGGTTGACATGGTAACGGTGCAAATGCTGACCCTACGATCCTGTGTCAGCACAGCAAATCAGGCTCTGGCCTGTACCTTCCTGAATTCACACATCATCTAAAACACAACTTCTGTGTAGGTTATGCTAACAGAATAGTGCTTCTTTATTTGGTCCCTCAACCTGTTTAAGTCAAGTTGCTATGACTTTGTTCCAATTTATACCACTCAATGGATAAAAAAGTTTGGAGCTAGAAGGAAAAAACAACGTTCAGTTTTTCTTACTTTCAAACAGTAGTACCCTATGATGCAGAAGAATGAGATGACTGTGTGTAGGATGGCCAAAATCCGCAGCGTGGGCTCCATGTAGCCACTGCTTTCTTCCAGGACATAATGCACTGCAATGACCCTCTGGTTATCACTTTCCAGGCTGTTCAGTTTGGTACTTTCACCAGCAGATACCAGAGGAACTTCCTTTTCTTCTGTCACAGCAGAGGTGGAGACCTGTTTAAATCACTTAATCTTAATATTGCAGCTGTATTCCTTTGACAGGAGCTTGACACTACTACAAGCTAAGCAGTGTAACTGAAAACAATGATATCAAGGACAAAAATCACTGTGAGGAAAGAATTTTTTGTGTAAAAATGTCCACAGAGACCCTTTCATCTTGTTACACCAATCTGTGACAGTGTGCATTTTCTTTTTTTTCCACTCTCTGTCCATGGTAGCAATGTGGGCCATGCTGAATTTTACCACCTCCAATTCCAGAAAGGGCACAGCCCTCTTGGAAGAAACCCAGTCAACTCCTGACATTCCCACATGCAGTCTTTATCAGCAGGGCTCTGCCAAAAACTGATTCAAGTCTGAAGACTCTAGAGTTGTATTAGCGATACTAAAAGTCTTGACAAAGAAGATCAGTGACATTCTAGGCAGCTTAAGATGGTGTGACTTCTCCTTGCTGTACATACCCCCTCAGGGGAGCACGATGGCACAAGAAAACATCTCAGCTGACATGCCATAGTTTAAGTTGCCAGCGAAGGCTGGGCTTGGCTGAGTCACTGTAGCGTGAAATGGAGCATCTGAGGCATGGGTACGCCTTTCAGTCTGCCGCCTCTGTCACAGCACAGAACTTGGTAAACAGCTATTTGTGTACTGGAAGTCTATTACTACTTCACGTAAACACTTTAGTTCTCATCGTGTTAGATTTCTGAAGTGGTAGTATGAAGCAGGTATTTAATCTGTTAGGCTAGGCAGTTTTACCATAGTACACCATTTTTCTGTATACAACTTGAAAAGTAGTATTTTGACAAGTTTACCTTATAGAAAAGCAGGATGAAGTTGATGGCGAAAGCAACAAACAACGCCAACATCCTCATGTTGTAAAAGTTTCGCGCAAAGTAATTCTGAAAATAGAAACAGAACATAGATACACTGTGTCTAATAATGATACCACAATCATTATTAGGTTGTTGCATGGGTTTTTTTGTTTGTTTCCCCTACGGAACTTTTAAATAGAATTATAAATAGAAAAAAAAAACAATAAAAAAATCAAACATTTTGAGGGATGTATTGTACAAATTCTCTCCTACTTCATATGTGCAATAATGGATAAAGGAAAGGACCTCTTGTTTCAATCCATGCAGAAAGGGATGAAGGGTTTCTAATTGCCTCCTACATCTTTTTCATTATCCTTTCAATATACTTACAGACAGCACAGAGACACCACAATGTAATAGTAATGTAACAGTAATACAGAAATCTCTATCTTCCCTGTACCTCCGTATTATTGCATATGGCAAATTACTATTTTCACCAAGAAACAAAAATGTCTGCATATAAGTTTATTTTAAATCTTTTTCTATTCCAAAATCAATTGGGTTTTTACCAGATCAGCAAAAAGTTCATCTGTGACCTAAGTACCGTGAGTAGAAAGCTTCTCTCACATAATGATCTTATCAAAAGGATTGTGGAAATGTACTTTTTCCCATCCGGACAATTCAAACAGATGTTTCTAGCACAGATTTTGAATGCTTTAACTCTCACACGCGAATTCTTCCATTTTTCAGTCCTAACCATAGATGACTATAAGTGAATTATTAAATGAGACTATTAGAAGAAAAATTAAATGAAATTCACAATTGCTACATGATTAGTGTAAAACATGAATCTGAGTTCAAAAGCAAAACTTACACACCTAATTCCTTATTAAGATTGTGACTGCAGTTTTGTAGTTGTGCTATGTTAGTCGCGTTAGAAGTAGGCTGTCCCTACACAATTGGATCTACTAGATATATAGAAAAAGTGTGTTTCTTTTTGCTTTGCATTTCACGCTAGCCTCACAGAATATGTGAGGAATCTCCTAGCTAACAAAAGCATAGACTTTAAACAGTTCTACAGCAAACTCAGGGATATCATATTTTACTGAGACACTCTCAGAAACAGTTATACTATTTTAATCGGTCTTATTTTCTGCCGATTTCGAGAAGTTTCTCAAATAATAACTTGCTATTGCTGCTGTGAAAATTCAGGACATTTTATTCACATAAAAATGCATGGCTGTTTTCCAGTGATGGACAGTCATCTCTGAAGGTCTGGGTTTTGGACAATATTTGTCCTCCTAAGAATCAATGTCTTGTCTACTAAGTTATTTGGTGTTTCTTTTCTGTAACATTCCAGTTAAACCTTTGCCTTTATGTCTTTTTTATGGATGATGGTGGATAGAAAAATGAGTTTCCCCAGATGCAAATTTGTCTTTACATTGGTAGAATAACACGGTGGTGCACATCCCTGCCAATCACTAAACACACAGTCCAGAGAACAGCTTACAAGAAGTTTCTGTTGGTATGCAATGATTTTCTTCCAGAAAGCTGATTCCTGAACTTCTGGTTCTCCATATCTGTGAGTATGAAGTTGTCTTAGTTTCTGTTTCCCTTTGTCTTCCTTGGCTTTCTCTTCTTTTTCTCCATCTTCTCCTCTTAGGACAGAAATGAAGCCAAAATAATATCTCAATAAAATTGCTAAACAAAAAATTAAAACCACACCCTGAAAGAGGCCATTGCATCTTTTCATGAGTCTCAGGTAGTTATAACTCATGCATTTCACACACATGAATAATGAAACATATCCCTCTTCAGCCCAAAGCGCTGGCCAGGGTGACAGTCTGCTTAAGTCTACAGATAATCAAGCTTACTGGTTTGGCACCTTGAAGTGAGGATGCTAACCGACAGAGGCAGGTAATCAAGAATCTGCCAACCTTATTACCTGAGGGTCTGCTTTATAATTGGCTAGCTAATGCTCGCACTGACAAATGTGTGTAAGCTGACAGCTGTATGTCTGTACGAGTGCCTACATGTCCAAGTGCTCCTCTCCAATGTCATGCACTTGAACTATCTGGTTCCCACAAAGGTTGCAGAAACCTTTGGTTCTTCTTGTATTTACAAGCCAAACCTCAAGTTTCAAATTCTGCATTTCCACCCACCTGAGGAATTCAGAAGTACCCACTCCAGGAGGAGACAGGAATAAGAAAGCTTGACTGCATTCGATGTGTTATTATCACCATGGTGCCTGATTCTAGGATTTCATAGTTAGTGAGCTGCCTTCTCCAAACATGTGATCTAAGGAACTGTGAATTATCTTAGAAGTTAATTTGACCTGACAGCATGACAGATGAAAGGATCACAGAAGTTCATTTGAAGCCAAGCTAGACTGAGAGGCAACTTAGAAGTTACATTATTAATTTCTCTGTACTCATCTACAAACAGAATAACTGATGCCCTAAGGTGCTTCTCATACTAGAATACACTTGACAAACTTTCACTTGAAAGTTCATTTGAAAGTTTGTTTATGTTTGGAGTGGCTTCAGGGCAGGTAATAGTGCCAGACTCTGCACTTCAGAGAATACAGGTATCGCTGGAACTCGCATGGTCAAGCGGAGCAATCAAACAGTAAAGTGACCTTCAAAAGTCAGCAAGCATCTCCTTCTACAAAGTTGTATCAGTCGAGTTAGAAATTTGCTGTGCTGATTAGGAAGAAGAGTTTTTGTTACAGGCAAGTGTTTGTCATCCCAGGAGAGCAATAAAGACAAAAAGCTTGAGACTAAGGGACCCACTTAGAATTTTGACAGTGACATATCAGCTACAGGAGCTGTACATGTATCAGAATTGTACATGTATCAGGAACCATAAAATACAGGGATGGAGTGCTATACTTCTTTACCGGTTAAAACCAAGCACTATGTTCTGCTTCCCACTATTTTTATTCTGAGCTAAGCTCATTAACATTAGATTTTAACATATCCTAAAAAAAATTAAAATTATCATTTATCAAATGCTAACACTTGTTCTTCAAGAAGATGTGAGAGTACTCAGTAGTTCATTAAAATTACATTGGAATATTAAAGTTTTCCAAAATCCCAATAACTCAAAACAGGTCATAGCAAATGGGAAGAGCAAAACAGATACAGTCTCTACCACTGATGGATAACAAGTCTCTGGAACCCAGGTGCTCCCACAATTTTTCCAAGAGATTTTCATCTACCTTTCAGACTTGCTAAGAAAAACTTAATCAAACATCAAACACATTCTAAAAGAACCTAATTGACATTACAAAGGATGCTGCCAGAAGAGGGAAAGTCATAAAATCTCTGAGTGATGTTATTTATATGGCATTTCCTTGTAAATGTGCATGGATGTTGAGGATGGTTCAAAAAATCCTAACTGTGGAATGTGAATGGACACAGAATTAAAGGCAAAGAAGTAAGTACAAACCAAGCTGGTTTTTCAGTGAAACAAACCACATTTCGTAGTATCAGAGGTCAAAGTAATACATACTCTGCTTTTTCAGGCTCAGATTTTGTTTCTTCCTTCTCTTCCTTTTCATCTTCTTTCACACGCTCCTACAGAAAGTCAGATTTTAAAAGTGGCATAACACTATTATACAGTACAGAGTTAGTTAAAAGGATACATAGAAAGCAGAATATTAGGTCCATTTTTTTAAAAAAAAACCAAACAATTGAAACCCTGAGACAAGATGATCTTTCAATTTACGTTAATGAAGAGGCATTTTAACACTGCATTAAAAGCAAGCCAAAACACCATGTACTTAGAGAAGGTTGTGGAAATTCAAGTTTATGACATCAGAGAGAGTAAACACCAGTAATTATATGTGATTCCTTAAAAAAGCTCACAAAATCCAGAAAAACATAGATGCAAGGTTTTTTTCAAGACTATACTTAATATACAAAAGGAAGAAGCATGCAGCAGAAATAAAATATACAGTTACCTGGATTTTTTCCTGCACCTCAGGCATTGGAGCTAAGGAGGGAGTGCTCAGTAAATCACTCAAACCAGCATTCGGATTGTGAGGGATCAGTTTATACTGTCCACCTTCTCGTTTCAAATCCAACCCAAATATATCTGAGAGCAGATCACTCTCATCTGATAAAGTTCTCAGATCCGTCAAGTCTTCTGTAGGCAATGTAGCTTCTGCTAGCTTCCTCTCTCCCTCTTCTCCTTCCCCACGCACCTCATCCTGAGTGGGATCTGGCATATTAGCTAATAGTTCAGCCACCTTGATTTTCTTCGCGCCTTCTACCAGGCTTCCTCCAAGCAGCAAACTGCATATGATGCGAAAGAAGCCCCGGACAACACTACATGCAAAATGTAGTAAGCCCATCAAAATGCTCCAATAGGAAGAAAACAAAGCCATGACCATGTCCTTCATGGTCATTTTCTTCACTTTTTTCATCTGTTTCTTTAGGCTCTTCATGCTGAGCATTTTCATAAGAGTCATTAAATTATACTTGAGAGCTACTAATGCTGACTTCATGGTCACGAGAGAGAAGAAACCCATTCTAGGATCCTGCTCCTCAGGCTTATCTTTCTCATCCTCCTCTTTATTTGCTGACCTTTCATTCAGATCTGACTCGGAGATCTGGGCAGCCAGTTGCATTTCGAAGATGGTATCCTCACAGAAATTAACAAAAAGCTCCATCTTTTCTTTCTCCCCGCCTTCATTTACAACATCAAATATAAATTGTCTCTTTGACTCTTTTACCTGAGGTTTCTCCCACTGAGTCCGACTTGACTCACTTATTTCAAAATAAACTCGTTCAATGCGCTTCGCACTGCCCATGATTTCTATGCGTCCAAGGAAAGGCTGAAAGTAATTCAGCACACTCTCTGACAGTTCAAGAAAAGTTTGCAAGCGGGTATCATGGGGCATGTGTTCCGACAGGTTGGTCAGGAGAACAGCGACATTGAAACCAATGTCTTTGGCAGGTTCATGGAATCGTTTCACAAACTCCTCATAGTCCAGAGTCTCATTCTCATCTGTTTCAGCACATGATAGCAGGAACTCAGTTTCAGACTGGGTGTAATGCTTATGGCTTTCCATTGCCTTGTGAAAATCCCTCTTTGAAATTATCCCTTTACCATCAGGGTCATATTCTTTGAATGCATCAGAGGAAGTCAAATCCTTCAACTTTAAGAACATATCAAAAAACTTCAGAATCATCTCCACATTGTTGGACGATTCCACAAGCATATCGACCATCTGCTTGCCAATAGTTCCATTCACAACATTACCTAGATGAGATGACTTGAAGTTAGAGATATTGACGGTAGCAAATGTTTTGGCAAAGAAAAGCATATAATAATGACTAGTGAAATAATCAAACAGTAAGAATGACAAACTATTGGCTAACACACTCACATGAGAAAGCCAGCTGTAAAATCAGATATCTTTTACTAATCACACCACCTGAAGACTTGGAAAAAATGTAAGTGACTAAGTATTTGCCATTAAAGAAAGGAAGAACTAACAAGCCCTACAGAGAGACATCTGTTATATTTAATATAGTACTAAACATAAGGGAGCATACTATGAATTTCACTATAGTGCAACATAGGTAGAACTAGTGTCACATTAGTTAGGATGAGTAGCTCAGTAGGTTACTCGTGAAGCACAGCCTACAATACTAAGAATTTACTTTGCTTCTCAGTGACCTTCCACGAGCAACGCAGTAGCAATACATGCTACACTGCAATCTATATGCTGCATTTACTGCCCTCCCAGTTCCCCTCAAGAAAATAAATGCGATAGGATATATGTAAGAAGCGAAAAGGAAAAACAATCTATGGATCATCTATGTGTATGTCTGGTCAGTCTAGTATTGGAAGCACTAATATGGTATCATAAAGGGGCTAAAGAAATAGTAGTGTTTCTTGACAATGATCACATTCTCTACGGAATCATAATTTCAGGTGCTAGCTATAAAGGACCTTGAATCTGGTCGCTAGATGAATCAAAGCCTGTTCTTTATGGCTAAGACCACTTCCAAAATAAATGCAATATAGTAAAGATGTCAATAAAATGACTGATAAATGGTTCAGTTAGTAGAACTCAGGATTCCAACTTCAATAGGAAAAAAACTTTTCACCTGAGCCAAAAGAGAAGCCAAGTTCATGGAAACAAAGTAAAACTTTATACAATTCTGGTATTCAGAAGTAATATAAACTATATCAACTGCACTATATAAATCTCCCATTCACTTTAAGACCTAACAACTCTTCTCACAATTGAGGCATGAAAATTAAAAACCCAAAGGAAAATGGAGCCTTATTTCTCACATGAAGAAAATCACAAAGGTAAAAACTTTGCTAGAATAACTGTGAAAGAGGATTTCAAATTAAATTTTGACTACCTTCCAGCATAGACAGCAACATGACAACCATATCCTTCTGAAGATCCATTAATTCCTTCAGTAATTCAATTTGACTGGAGTCCTAAATAATGAACACAATATATAAAATATCTGTTGACTTCTTTGACATTTATGTATGTTCATGCATATTTCACCCTGTAAAAATGAGACTTAGAAATTAAGAAGCTAGTAGTGTCAAAGCTGGTAATACAGTGAAAATATATTGAATTTCTTGATGCTTTACAGTACATTTACAAGCTCAAACATTTACACCACAGCTGTTTAGAAGACATTAATTTCACAAAGACAAAGTGAAAACTGAAGGTGATGAAAAAATTTACAGCAATAATTAGGTATGTCACACTCACAGATGATGCCTCTGTAATGTTTCATGTCAGCTGAAATAGCCGCTGTTGGTGTAATCAAGTTTACAGCTATGAAGACTTGTAAAAACAACAATGGCAGCAGCACATAGAGCTCAAGGTGTAACATGATTCAAAGTGAGTGATTCCATTAAAGGCCATCGAAATTATTTTGAGAGAAAGAAAAGTTGAAATAAAATTTCAAAATATTTATTGATAAAGTTCCACTAGTATATCCTTAAATAGACATGATACTGATTCTTTTAGCCATCTTTGATCTCATTTGGCTTATCAAGTTTACTATTTCACTTGCCAATGATTTCAACCAGGAGTCTATCTGGATAGATTTCTTCAACTACTTCATTTCTTCCTCAGTGATGCATTGCTGCATCATGCCGTTGATAAGACATACTTGAGCATTGCTGGACTTCCATGAGTAATACAACAGACTCAAGGTACTTTATGGCAATTTGGATCTTGGATTGAAAACAGCACAAGTTGGAAATAATGAAGATTTCTAATTAATTTGTCTTGTAAGTTTTCATTCTACATCTTCTTCAAAAGTTGCTTACAATCTGGATGATCTTTGTTTGTTTAGGTTGAAAATTGTACTTTCATTTTCTGCCTTACAGAGATTTCTTAAGTAGTATTACCAATATCACCTTGTTGCTTCTTAGTACAAGACTAAAGAAGGGAAATGAAAAAAAAAAACAAAACCAAACCAAAGCAAACCTAAAGAAACACAGGGATTTAGTTTTGTTCCTATTTAAATCTTGTTTCAGATATTCTCCAAAAGTGCTCTGGAAACTCCCGATTTAAAACAAAAAACAAATACCTAGCCTAGGCAGGCCCTCCTTACAGACAAAAGCCATATTGCAACACCTTATAAATCCATTTAGCCACACTCTACACCTTTGAAAATTGGTATTTCAATAGAATCTGAAAAGCTTATTAATATATTCTTGCAATAAATATAAATAGACAAAAGAGCCCACACCCATTCCCAAGGCTCTGCTGGCCCCTAAAGGACATCCCAAAAGCCAAGAGCTTGAGCTCCACAGAAAAGAAAGACCCCATCACTATTTATCATACATTTGGAGTAGACTGTGTTTTCTGTTATCCCGCAGAACAGCATGAGTAACTCCACGCACTACAATGGATCTTGTTGCGCAATGCTTCTTGGCTCTCTCTGAAGTGTCAGGATGAGTATCATCATTTTCTATATGCAGTACTTAAACGATGCTATGAAGCCACTCTTGGCACAGCTGAGACTATAAACTTGTCATTACTGTAAAAACAAATCTTGCCAATAGCCACATCATATTTCTCAATCAACACATACCTACCATGTGTTTGACTCACTGTCAGTAACTACTTAAATACCGCTCTCCCTGTTGCTTTAGTGGTACAGGAAGAAAGCACAATAGCCACCACTGTGGCCTACCCAAATATTGACTATTTTTTCAATTCTTAAAATAACAAAGATGTTCCAAAACAAGGACAGTATCTATAGGCACTTATAAGTACACTTCAGTAGAAATTTAATGCATCACTCTTAAAAAAGAGGTTTCCCTGTGATGCCATTTGCTGGAAGACCACCTCTATTTAGCCATAAAGAATGAGAAGCATACCCATAACACAAAGTCTACAAATCTAAGTAATCAGCCTACTTTCAGCCTTAAAGTCCCAAGGGTAGGGAGGAAAATCGTTTGAGCAAGACTACCTCAATTTATGTAAAGAATACTTACATGGATACATTTGGAGCCAAATAATGAAATCTAAAAAACCTCAGAGTCTTCAGAGCTGTATTCCTTAACAACTAAAACCTTCACAAGCTTATGACCCTTTTCTCTGAGAATGTCAAATTGTGTAAAAAATTTAGAATCACTACATTCAATTCAGATGTATAATTCTTTTAAAAAGGTAAGAAGTTGAAAAATGTACTGCTTAAGGATAGGATTCTTCTCACCTAATTTTAACTCGCTTAAAGGGCTGTCTATGCCAGTCCCCAACACTACCTGTATAGTTTATGAAATGAGTACTCGCATCCAAAAGCAATTCACCCATTCTAAGGTCTGATTACTCTCTTTCTCTACTAATAGTAGAAAAGGCTAAGATGCAGACATGTGTTGAACTAGGGTTCAATAACAATGAACTAGGGTTCAATGCAGGACACATCAATGAAGATGGGTCCTGCATAAAAGGCTTGTGCAAGATTGCAGAAAACATTGACAGAACTTTGGCATGAAAGACAGGAATTGGCTAGTTCTTTCTGAGTATCAGTGATGTGCTTTATTTGCAGCTTGATCTAATTGGCTTTGTGCCTGTGGCCAGTAATTCCATTACAGGCCTGCTATTCATACCATTTTGTAATTTACTCCCTCAACTCTCTTGTATTCTATCACCTCTGTCTCTTATTTTTCCTCATATTTCCCCTATTAACTGTTGTTATTAATGACTTGAACATATTAACAAGTCTATTTATCTTTTACAAAGAAGTTAGTAACTTAAAAAGGAAAAAATAAAACAAAAAGATACCTGAGATAGCTTCATCTGCATGTGGGCAAACACATGAAGAAAACCAACTACAGCATCCCATAGCCTGCTGTGTGCCAGACTTTGCTGATTCCCAGTACATGGACCCTATTGTTCAGGCAACAACAACAACAAAAAAAACCAGAGTTTATTTGCAAGAAACTTAACAAAAACAGGAAGGATGATACACAGACAGTGCATCACTTGGGGCTGTCCTTTAGAAATTGCTATGAAAAATTAAACATATATAAAATTACCTATTTAATAACACCACTGACTGTAAGCAATGCATATTCCTAATAACTGTTCTGCCTCTGTTTTAGTCAAGTCCCTATTTACTAATTCAGAACCACAAAAAGTATATCTGCTTGCAACTTTAAACTGCAAATGCTAAAGGGGTACAAACCTTCAAGCTGATTCTTCCCTATGTAGTTCTGTAAATCAGGAATAACTTTATAGATATATAGGTATGGATATATATAACATATATATATGCAAAATTGGCATAAGGGATTAAGAGTATATCCTCCAGTAGATTCTAGCTGTTGTAGAACATAGTGCTAAAGGGTACCCTTCCAAAAATTCCAACTTCTGAAAAGCAAGAATACAAGATCTTTTGAAGTCTCAAAGGATAACAAATAAAAACTTAACCAGTTAACAATGCTACTTGTGATTTGCCAAATATGTATACATTAAATAAATGTACGCACATGTATGTAAACTGCCTCTACTCATATTTATTCAGTCCTATTCTATCACGTTTCATCCTCATGAACTATAAAATACTGTTTTTGTAATAATGGTTTTCATTTGAATGGAAACAGTATAATAGACACCTAATAGTTTAATGAGATTCTCTCTAACTTTCTTATTATATGCAGAAACAAACTGTAATATTGTTGACTGATTTACATGAGGAATTAGTTAAGAACTAAATTACACTGAATTGCTAACATATCATGGAAGAACTGCTATATTGTTATTTTGACAGAATTGATCCCAATCTCATCTATTGTGGAGTCCAGCTCAAGTACACCCCTACAATTCTCAAATGTAATGTGTGACTTCAGTACTTCAAACACAGCACTGATGCCTTAAAAGAGCCTTATTCCTGACAGAAAACACAATCTAATGTTCTACTGAGTCAATAGCAGCTATGTTTTGCATTGATCCTAGTTTCTAAGTGGATTAAAAGTAAGACTTTAAAGTGGATAACACTGCTGCAGTCTAGGCCAAATTAAAACACAATAAAAAAAAACCCAAAACCTCTACTATCTTGCATACAATCAAAAGATGATTATTTACTAATAACTGTAAATTTGACTAAATTGCTAAGACTCCAAAAGGGTAGTGACAGCTACATATATATTTCAAAACTTCACTTCCTACTTAAATAAATGCACTAAAATAATGTTGAAGCATAAATGCATCTATATTATATTTCTATCTATGTTATATCTAGCTAGATTATGTCTTCATGTCAAAAGTATGATTAATTTTCTTTCAAATCCATAAAATTCCAATGAAACTAATTTACCTGGATATACTCCGTAAGAGTATTGAAAACTTGTTTTGCAACCTGGATGGCTTTGGAAAAATTTCGTTGTCCTTGCTCATCAATAACATCCTTCCCAGAATAATACCAGTAGAAATCACTAATGGATTCCTAAAAAACAGTACAAAGAGATAATGTAATCAAACTGCCTCTAACTGATCATTCATCAAGGTAAGAAAAATAAGATTAGAAAGCATTCTAGTTCTGAAAAATATTTAGTTTATAAAGGTTTTAAATGGCCCCCCAATGATTCTCAAGTATTACTTCAAGAATTGTAGTTTCATCTCAAGGGAATCAATAGCAAAACAAATAAACTGAAATAAATAATTGAAAAACACCACAGCAAACGTCAAAATAAAATATTTTTTTAAAAAATTAGATCTGTTGGTATCTGCTTTTAGAAATACAACCACCTGTGTTCTGAAAAGGAGTACTCAGTAGTACTACCATGCTGCATGCTGCTCATTAAACAATCTCTCTTTATACTGTGTGCTTGACACCTAGTCAATAGTGGGAGCAAATGTTGCTTGGTGTGCATGATTCTTCGTTCCGTCTTCACCAAAGGCGAGCTTATTAAAGTTTCAGCAAAGCAAGCAATGGAATGAAAATCATTGTAATGTCCCTACAACTTTGACAGAATGCATAAAGATGAAAAGCAATGCTGATAACAGCAGCAACATAAAATCGGCCAATTTGCAAAGCCTGGAATTCTCAGACCCAATAAATAAACGGCTGAAGGGAAAACTGAACCAGATAAATTAAAAAAACCACAACAAAATAAATTAACATGCACAGTGATTTTCAGAAAGACCAGAATAATAGGTAAAACTTATTAACATTTATCACAAAATATGTTTTCATGTCTTTCATGTTCCAATCTGGAAACAAATTAGATTTTTTTTCATTACTTTCTACTGGGTTGTGACAATGCATTATTTTCATATTTAAAGATTAGGGAGATAATTCAAATTAGAGGGTTGAAGGGGTTTTAATCTACCCTTCCGCTTTTGTTTCTTCCTTTCGCTTTTTTTTTTTCCTCCTTAGAAAATGATGCACTGCTCTTGCACTTCACTCCATGCCATCCCATGACTATCCATAGAGCAGCTCTGTGTTAAGACTAAACCAGAACACGGATGAAAAAGCAGTTGGCTGAAGCTTAACTTATACAATACAACACACTTTTTAGTCACAGAGTAGTCTCAGTCAACAACTGGTTAATGGTATTTGCTGACACACTTAGCATTTATCTGCCTTCTGCCTGCTCTCCTTGGTTAACCAACTCTGTTGCATTCTTGCATGTAATGGCCGAAATCACTCTTTCACACTTTTGTCACCTTTGACTCTCACCGTACAAAAGAGCAATTCTTAAAGAACTGTAACAGTAGAGAATTACAGCCTTTCTCATCAACACAGGGACAGTGACCAGAATAAATGTTATGAAAAATAAATGTGCTCCTCTAATAAAACTGAACATTTTGTGATAAAGATGAAGTTTGATTTTGCTGTAAACAGCAAACCATGGTAGCAAACCAGGTATTGCTGAAGGAAATTTCAGAGAAATTAAGAAATTCGGAGTCTCCGTATACAAACTTCTGCCTTACAATCAAAACAAATGAAATAAAATTATAAAAAAAGGTAAATATTGTATAGATGCAAGTCATTATTGTAATTTACTAATTTACTTAATTAGTATATAAATTAACCTACCTGAACTCTTAATAAGTAATCCACAGTGGAAATGATAATATTAACAGTTGTGTTGTTACCAGTCTGAGTTCTCAGGTAATTTTGAAAATCTAAAAATTCAAATAAAAGTTTAAATTTATTTACGTGTTAAAGACTTACAAAACTACTCCTGCAAATTAATTCTGATTCAACATGATCTAGGAAACTATAGCTTAAAGGAACGGATTTTTTTTTACCTCTTTTTTTTGTTTGTTTGTTTAGCAACAAACCATTTTAAGAGTTTCAGCATTTTATTGCAGAGATCACATACCAGTGAACTTCTGAAGCCAGAAGCCTGATTATCTGTTTCATCTCTACAACTTTAACTTTGTCTTATTTTCACCTCATTTATGACTAATTTTACATCTTTAGAACTCCATCAATATCAACATAATTACACCTAGTATATATTTTGTTAAGTAAAAGCAAAATTAAATTGCATAATTATACAATTCCTGATTCAAAGTCATAAATATGCCCAATAGTTTGAAAAAATTATCATTTTCTTTTTCTTCATCTTTTTCTTCCCTAGTAACAACAGAGAACACAGGGAAATGTATGCAATAAAAAAATATGCTTAATATCATGTATTCGTTTAATCTGTTTTCGTATTTTTAAATTGACGCTCCTTCTTCAAGAAAGGTATTGTGTATGTTGTTGCAATTTCACATACAACTCTAACTCACGTTAGTGCCAAATAGCACACACCAGAAAGCATACAAATGCAAGGAACAATAAATATACCTTCCTGTTATATTTTTGCTCTGAACCTTCACTGTCTAGAAGTTATAAACCATGTACATTTTCCTATATAAATTCACCTTTCCTAGTAGGTCATGATCCAAAACTCATCATTTTGGAAACCATTATCTTCTCTACAAAGTTAAAGCTGATTAAAAAAAAAACATGGCAATTTAACTCCACATAAATATTTTCCTTTCATGTACAGCCTAGCAGCTACTCCACCTTTCATAATATTTTATGAAGGCTGCTAAACCTGTAGCAATGAAGAGCTTTTATCTTTCGTTATCATCACCTTGGCTTCGCCGACTGGCAGCCTGCCCACAAACCTGAATTATGTCCTTCACAAAGCAATTGAAGGAAGCGGAAGAGGTCACAGGTGAACTCATCATCCTGCATCACCTTTTCTCCTGTAGAAAGGCCAGATGAAAGCAGATTATCACAGGCTGCCAAGTAACACCCCACAGCCCCTGAAGAAAATCTCCATATTTAATTTTAAGAAAGCGAGAAGGGGAGAGAAAATTTATAACCACCAATCTATCTGAAGCACATGTGACTTGTGCTTGGCAGATAGTTATTTGGTTAAAAAAATAAATGAAATTATGAAACTTAACTTTTGATTTAGAAATATGTCAGCATGAGCTTGGCAACATTTTACAAATAATCCATGATTTACATTCTTATTTGACTTTACAGGGCATGAATGCTGCATTACACACAAAGGTTAGGACTGGATTAATTTGGTTCCCATTCACCACAAAACAAGGTAATTAAAAATACAGAAAGAGATTTAATAAAACTAATGAAAATCATTCCTCAAATAAACTATAAGAATTTAAAATACTCTAAAAGTAACCCATGAAATTTACAGCTGTGAAATATCTGAGGATTTAGCACCTGTCTGCCGCTGACACAAAATGGACGTTGGGCATTTGTCTCCCTTGACAAAATAAAGCAATAAACTTACGATGAACTAGAAGAAATGCCAATGTGCTTTACAGAATTAGGCCCTTCAGTTCATTTTTTGCTACACAGCTAATACCCAAAAGTATAAAGCTTCAAATTATTTTCTTGATTCTTCACAGGAAACAGTACACTAAAAAGCCCTCAAATAACACACCATTATTTCAATTACATCAATACATACAGTCAACTTCATGGAGTGACATGTGAAGAGGAGAAACAACCATTCACCCAGGAAAACAACAAAGACTGAGGAAATGTAGAACATCTACTAAAATGACACAGGAGGACAACAACATAGGTGTTCAAAACAATAAAGGCCACCTATTGAAAGTAAGGAAATTCCCATTTAAGGTCTTTGGAAAAGTATTTGGAATGTGTATGGCAACAAAAACGGAAGCCATAAAAACTTCTACTTTTTAAGAATATAAATAGTTTGAATATGTGACCAAGTGCTATTTGTAGACAATAAAAGGAAAGGAGATAAAAATGTAAGCAAACTGCAAAAGAATTTAGAAGATTTTTTTTTTGACGGGGAGGTATTTTAGGCTTTTATGTGAACTTCAAAATACCATGTCTACAAAGACAGTATTTTTAGTGCATGAACAGAAGGAAACCAGAAGAGTGAGTATATGAATTAAAATTTAATTAAAAGAAAAAAAAAAAGCTTTTTTCAAAAAGGGTTATAGACAATAATAATTACATTAACAATTATTGACATACTGGTATATCGGTGGATAACTCTAATTATAATGTCTACATTTATAAATTATTATATTATCCTAATTACATTATTACAGCTTGTGTTGGTTTTGGCTGGGGTCGAGTTAATTTTCTTCACAGTAGCTGGTATGGGGCTGTGGGTGGGATTTGTGCTGAACACA